GTTTCGCTCTCAGCGAAGCTTCGGACAGCGGGATGCTAGTGAGCGTATTTCTCCCACTGTCTCCGACGAGCGAGCACAGCGTAAGCTTAGCGTAAGCTTAGCGAAAGCTCGATCGCTAAAGCTCCGCTCTCTGTCTCTCTCGTGCATTGCATTGCAGCGCAGGCGACAATGTTGTCGCAAACGATATGCGCTGCAATTTGCAATCTTAGAGATTGGCAACCATTACAAGCAATATACTGACATAAACAATAATGCAAAATGTTGTTCGGGGCTCAATGATATTCCCTATACAATATGGTCAGGTAGGTACAGTAATAATTGGCTATATTGACACTCGGAGAATTCTCTATTAAACTTTTTAATATATTAATTCAATACTATCATTAATTATGCATATCAAATACAGTATTCCTGATTTCTATAATTTATATTCCAACTAAGCATCGTATTTTATGCTTCGTGAAGTTATTATCGCACTTCTCTTCCTTTTCACTCTTGCGACAATTCACGTATATTCATTCAATTATATGAAAATTACAAACTAATTTGAATTCAGAATGAGATTTTTATACAAGCACTGAGCAGATCTCCGCTTAGCAATTGTTTACTGTACGGCAAAAACATTTATTTGTTTGACAATTTTTATTGCCTACTTTCAGGCGGCGGTTGCTGGCGCAAACTGTTTGCACAAAAGTTTTCAACAAAAAATAAAATTCAAAAGGCGTTAAAAACGTTTAGACCGAACTTTTACCCTGACGTGACATGCCCAAAAGGGGAGGCTTGATGAAGAGAGGGAGCAGGAGGGCACGCAGCTCGGTCAATCCGGCCTACATATTTTCGAACAAATTTGCGACCAGACTGAAGGCAATCGAATAGGTGGCATAAACAATACAAACAACTGGCACGAGGCAGTGCCAACTGCTTTGGGTATTAAATAAAAGTTTTCCACTTAAGGTTTATAAAAAGTTTAAGCCCATACGCGCTGTAGCTGTTGCTGTTGCTGTAGCCGGAGCCTGGGCGGGGGAGGGGCGGGCTGACGGCGACCACATTCACACCTACAGCCGCAACTGAAGTGGAGCCGGAAACGGAAATGGCGTCCGAAATATGATGAATGCCTCGCACAGCCGAACCCAACACGCGCAGCGGACATCTGGACAGCCGGACCCATTATAAGCTCGAATGCCGCATAAAGATTTGGCACAATAAAAACGTTCGCATAACCACTTAAGTTCTACAATATAGTAAAAAGTTTGCACGTCCGTTCAATTCGAATTTATTTTATACAGAAAAGACTCAATTCCCCGAATGCTGGCATTTGTTAAGCCTGTACTTGCAGCAATTTCTTAAGCATTTACACCTGCAGTTAGTCCAGTGACTCAAGTAGAAAATGCAGCGCTAATTGCATGCGAAATGTCATGCGTTAATTGAGTTGCCGTCAAGCGCAGCTCTTAATTAGCCGCCACAAAGTAAGCTTTTAATGACCAAGAAGCAGCGGAAATTAGCCGCTGCCCATCGAGCGACATGCGAAACGTTCCGATTCCTGTCAATTCCATCCAATTTGCATGGCTCCATTTGCGTCACGGCTGACACATAAGTCGCTAAAAGGAAATTGCAGTGCCACAAACTGCGGAAGAGGCAGGAAGCACGACAAAAAAAAAAAAAAAAAAAAAAAAAAGATATAGACACACGCTCGACTGTCAGTTACCTAAGCCGACAAGTTCATTATTCAAAGAGAATTATGATTAGCGGCGGCAATTATGCATTTGACAAGTTGTAAAAAGCTAAAGCTCATTAGGTTCATTAGCTGACGGAAAAATTCTAATTAGCTGCCAGCTCTCTAGCAAAAGCCACAATTTTCCACCTATGTGCATTGAAAGCCAAGCCTGAAAAGTTGATAGGGTGAATTTTGAAAATGGAAAACAAAATCCAAATCTGGCATTAAAACTTTTCAAATCTACAATAAAAATATGTTCATGTTTGGCTAAATTTCAGCATGAGATTTCACAATTTATTTTTGTAGAGTTTCTGTTTATTTTCGATTCATTTTTGATCAATTTAAGACTCATTTTAGTTCAATTTTTAAGTATTTTCTAATTATCAGTTTAATTTTCAGTTAATTTTAAATCAATTCAAGATTCATTTTTGATTAGAAACAAACAAATTGATTCACACTGCAGACTTTATATTTCCTGGCAATATATTTACATGGAACTCACTTACGTTGAGCATACCCCATGCTGCTGCACGCTTGTCTACAGGGTAGAATTGCAAATCGTTGTCAAGAGTTATCTAATACGATTTTAATTAGCAAATGATATTTTAAGCTGTCAAGTGGCAGTCGCTAAGAAAAACTAATTGCCATTCGAGCATTATCTGCTGATACACGCACACACACACACATAGAGAGAGAGAATGATAGAGAGAGAGAGAGAGGACAGTTATTGTAGCTGCATGTAGCTTGCAGCAGGCACAGCCCTTAAATGGAACTCGCTTTGGCACGTGCCACCACAACCAGCCACGTCGCAGCTGCTCCGCCCCGTTGACTTCTCATAGATTTAGGAGTACATATTTCTTTGCCGCCCTAGATAATCGTATCGCACACTCACATTCACTCACACACATGCTACGTGCAACACACTTGGGCCTTGGGCATGTTTAACGCAGCTGCGCAAAATTAGGCTTACTATTTTGCTTAGACAAATGAAGTACCGTTAGCTCGAGCAACCATAAATAAGAATACGCTTAGCTCGTATCAAAATTGTAAGCACTTGTTGTTGGCGCCACCAAACAGCCAATCAATCAAAGTGTCCTGGGTCAAGGCATATTGTCGAGCGCCTTTGGTCAAATTAATTTAATAACCCAAAAAAAAAAAAAAAAAAAAAAAAAAGCAAATCAAATTACAATTCAATTCGATTTTTTCGTTTTTGCTTTTGTGACGGCTGATAGTCCATAATGAAATCAGGCAAGCCCCGCACGAAGTTCAAGGACACGCCAAATATCCTTTAGTTTTTTATTGGTTGCTCTGAAGGGTCTAGACGCACTTTAGTGTCAGATCAATATTGTACACATGTATGTGTGTGTATGTATATACCTTCATATATTTGATTGTATGTGTGTGTGTCTAGGCGTGTATGTAAAACTTATTTGTGATATTCCAGTATCTGATGCAAAACTAAGTTCAGTCACCTGCGAAGGCAGTCTAAAAATATGTTGAGCCTGTTAAGAATAAGTCCCAAAAGAGATAGAAGCTATAAAATTTTGTATAGAAGTAGAAAAGAGAGATAGAGGGAGACAACAAATTACTCGGCAACAAAAGAAAAATATCTAAGAACATTTTGATGAATTTTGTGTAGATGGATAGACTCAAACTTAATATTAATATAGAGTAATAATAATATAGAGTAAACAGTAGAAGATTAAAGAATTTATTTTTTCTTAAATCTTCTCCTGTTTACTCTACTCTACACACTCTACACTCTACACTTTGGATAGACTCAAACTTAATATTAATATAGAGTAATAATAATATAGAGTAAACAGTAGAAGATTAAAGAATTTATATTTTCTTAAATCTTCTCCTGTTTACTCTACTCTACACTTTCGTCTTTATATTAATCATATTGTATGCACGGTGTCATCTTCTTTCTCATCCTCTTTGCTATGCATTCGAATACTATCTTTATCTTCCTCTTCTCTCCTTCGATCCCTTTTTCTGTTCTTCGTATACTATGTACATACATGGATATCTTCTTCTTCTGCTGCTTGTATTTCAGCTTTTTTTTCTTCCTCTTTTATTTCTTCTTTCTATTTAAGCTCCTCCCATCTATGTTTCCTGTAAACAAAATGCCATCTTCTACTTCTTCTTCTTCTATGCATAGTTGCTATTTCTTCTTCGTCGTCGTCTACTACATATCTATGATTCATCAGATTAAATAAAGTAACTAACTACAGTTGATTGCTTTGTCAACGGGACATTCGCTCTAAAAAGATTATGTTAATTGTAAACGATATATCGAGTATCGAGTGGGGGCAGCTGGAAAGCCAGTTTTAATTGAATTATCAGTGGCTAAGGGCGTACAAAGAAATGCCTAATTGAATACACTAATGCAATCAATTAAAACTGAATGCGGTGCACACACGTGCTCAAGACGCTATCTGAGTGAGTTGCTTCTTTGATATTACTAATACGACCCGTTGTGCACATCTATTACACACACACACACACACACACACACACAGCGCTGTTCGCTGCAAATGTATATAAATCGGGTTGTGGCAGAGGGGGCGGCTGCTGGGGGCTTTTGGCTCTGGGCTGAGGACTGAGGACTGACTGAGCTCTGAGCGCATCGCTCACTGATGAGTTCAATCAAGTTGTAAGCATGATTTCACATTGTATTGGATGTGCCGCAGCGTGCTGAGTAATTCAATACACAATCAACAGCGTTTTAGACTTCATTTGCAGCGATGGGCGGCATAAAAAATAAAATACTAAATAAAAAATGGAAAGCGGGAAGAGGGAAAAGGGAAAAGGGAAAGGGAAAAGCAAAAGCAGAACAAGAATAAAGTGAGCAAAAGGCCAAATCAAATCATAAAAAATAATATGCCGCGCAAGGGCGCAACAGGATTTCCTCTCTGCATGTGTCTGACTGCGGAGCAGGCAGCAAAGAAAATCAACAAGCTTTTACCTTTGGCATGCAAACGAGATGAAGCACAAGAATTTTTTACCCCCCGCCCTCTCCTGCTCCTGCCCCTGCCCTGTCTCGCTCCCACATTCCCCCCTTTGCGCCACAACTCCAAATTGATGCAATTTATGAAAACTTTTGTGCGCTCAATTGCGAGAAACGAGTACACAAGACACTGTCATTTTTATGCACTTCTCGTGCCAAAACAATTTCTCTATCTTTACACCGGGGCAAGAGGATTCTCTGCTGTCTGCTGTCTGCTGCCGCTTCCTTCCAAGCAGTCGTGTTTCGTCATATTTTCATTCTTTTTTTCTTGTATTTGGCATTTGTGCATTGTGCGGCAAATTAAGCGCATTGCCTGTGACTTCATTTAGCCACACACACACACACATACTTACAGCAAGGACATGTATATAGTCAACAAGTCTACTTATGAATTTGAAAAGGCTTCAAATTTCATTTGCCATTTGGCAATCACTTTAAATTTGCCACTCAAAAAACGAAAAAACGCAAGAACGAAAAGCAATTCCCGGCCTAATGACTGCCATTTGTAGCCCAGAAATGAAATGAAATGTGCGCCAGACCTGAAGGCGTTTATTTATTTTTATTACTCGCCCACCGAAGATACTCGCCCGCTTCTGTAATTACAGCCGAAAAACATTCAAGAATGTTATACAAAAATTATGGCATTAAATCATAAGTGCGGCTTAAGCAAATCTTTTTAATTTCATGCTCAGATTAAGTCTCAAGAAAAGCATTTTTTGTGTAATTTACTAATGAATTCAATTGTTTAAAATATTACATAATATTCCTATTCATCAATAATATTTCAATAGTTATTCTATTCATATAAATAAATTCGAATTTAGTATATTTTAATTTCGTATATTTTACTGTTTCTTTATACTGAATCAACAGCAACAGTTAGCACGTTTATGTTATTTTACAGCAGCAGCGCTTTGTAGAATAACATTGCAGTGCTTAAACATAACATAAGCCTGTTAATGTTAGCCAACATAACAGACGCCCCTGCATAGTCCCCTTTTCGAACATTGCCCCGCTTGAGGGAGGGGTTGCTAACAGCATGTTATGAGCGCTTGAGTTGTGTTATCTGCGCTGTCTGGCTGTTAAGTTTAGCAAGCGCTGTTTGAGCTGCTACGCTGCGCTATGTTAGAATATGAATTTTTTGGGTTTATGGGTTTGTCTGCTTGCAGCTGCTGGCAGCCCTTAACAGTTGCTGTTGGCTGAAATGTTCAAAAGGATATAATTTAAATATTTTATAGAATATAAATCATTTTTAATGATAGTTAGAAATATAGATGTATATAAGGAAATATATATATGTGTATACATATGTATGAATGTATGTATGTATGTATTCATACGCACACTCACTCACACTTTGGAATACAAATTTTACGCTATATCAAGTGCACATCAAAAACAAAGTCAACAGTCGGATTCGCTCGTATGCCGCATGTCAGATTTCCAATTTCCCGGCCGATGCGGAGAGCTGGCCAAAAGTTTTCTTAACTTTTCATCAAGCTAATAAAGCGTGCGCCTTTTCGTGCCTTAAAGTGGTAGCCGAACGACGACTTAAAATCAATGCGCCCTTCGACTATCTGTCTGTCTCTGTGTCTGAGGGTGTATGCGTGCGTCTGTGCACATGTGTGTGTGTGCATGTTTGTGTGTGTTTAGAGTTGTGCTGCTGCGGCTAATGAATAGAAATGTCGTTCTTCAAAACTTTTTAGCAAAAGCTTGGAACTGCCTCTCAATTTGTGCCTCCGCG